TATGTAGTCTGTGGTTTCAGTGGTGTCTGGGCAGGATGACGGTTGCATGAACGTATATGTGTGAAGGTGTTGTAGTATGCAAAAACAAGATAAATATCACAAAGTAAGAGTCGAAAACCAAACTAAAGGAGAAATCGGGGAGCCAGCCGCAGGGAGTTCTGACCTGGTCTTGACAGCAGCCTCCTGCAGAATTAGAAGACAGAGTTACAAATACTCTACAGGGCAATTAGCCCAGGTGCCTAGAGTTACTGCGATCAGCTCTTCCTCTACAAGAGGAGAGAGAGAGAGGCCACACCCACTCATGACCCCACAGGGTGTCACAGGGGGGAATGCCTGTACAGGCCGTACCAAAAACCTGCTATTATTCTTTATTACTGAAAGATAAAATTTATTTTCCAAGGCTTTTCAACCATGCAAAATTAATTCAACAACTAAATTGGGATGACTGCTGATTCGGTACCAGGTCTCTTCATTATCAGTTTAGATGCTTCATACCTAGCTATATGGTAAAAATTGGGATATTTTCTACTTTAAACACGCACAAAAACTTGGCAGCATATAAGTAGACTCTTTTTCTGCAGAATAGAAAAGGTTTACCCACCTCTATATCCTTGATTTAAGGTCATGACCTCGTTCAATGTATAAAGCTAATTGTGCTGCAACGGCTGTCTGTCAAGTAAATCTATATCATGCTCTTCATTCATGGTGAAGCCACTAATGAGACATTAAAGGTAGACTGTTATAACCAATGTCTAATGGACAAAGCTAGCGTTAGCAGAACTTCACCAAGATAAATTACTTATCTAATCTGCAGTGTGTAAACCTCCAAGCAACAAACAACACAGTCTAAAAGAGCAATAGGATTTGTTGACAAAGTATTTCAGTGGTTAATCAAGTGGCAAATGTGTGATAATTAAAATGGTGCCATTAATCTCTTCAAACCAATTAGTGGTTGATACATTTAAGTGGGCTTGCAAATTATGTCCTCAATTATCCTGAAGCCCCCAAAACACTGAAAGGAAAAACACTGATAAAATAGGACAGTATATCAAAAAGTGCATCTTCAGTGTTTGTCTTAAAGTTTTCATCCTGCCATATAAAGGTAATCTATCCAGTTTCTGTTAAAAACAATTTAAACAAAACAATCCTCATGACTGAGCCTGCAGACAGGAAATTTTCTCTGAGTGGGCTGCACTCTAGTGGGCAAAGACTGAAAACTCAAGCAGAACTGCAACTAACATCAGTCACCTAAGAAAAGGCAAATTGTGGATTATTTCTCATTACTGAAACTACTGAATGCATCAGCACGTACTTACTGGCAAAGTTATTTTATCAGTAAAGTTGATTCTCATAGTTTAAATCTGGGATGTGATGAGGCAGTATTGATCAGTCTTAATACAATTAAATTAAATAAATACAAAAAAAAGATTTTTCTATCATCAGAACTCATCTTTAGGCACCAGGCCACAGAAAAAAAAAAGAGGTCCGGTAAAGTCACAACTTCCTGCTTCCCCAACACAGGGACAAACGTGGATTTCCTGTTTTCAACAAGATCTCCAAAGCATGAGGGACTGAGAAAGTGTCAACCACACCCCTCAAAAGGATGACACAGATCCTCACATCAACATCCATATTTTCCTGTTCCACTTAGTTTTACAAATACAAGCACAGAGCGGGCTCAAAGCATAGTACTGGAAAACACAAAACAGCTGATTTATTTACAGGCACCCTGCCCAATATCCCAAATACAGCAGTGAGCTATAATCTCAAACCACAAAAACCCATCACAGAAAAGGTCAGTTACTTCAACTCATCTTTTGTATCCATCATTACGTTAAGAAGTTGACTAGAGCTGTAACTATGTATATCAATTAGTTGTCAACTATTAAATTCATCACCCATAATTTTGATAATCGATTAATCAGTGTTAAGAAATTAAAAGTCAAAATTCTCTGATTCCAGCTTCTCAAATGTGAATTTCTCCTCTGTGAGATTTTTCACAATTCTGACATTTTATAAACAAAACAACTAATCCATTCACCAAGAAAATAATGCACAGATTAATCAACAATAAAGGTAACAGTTAGTTGTTGCCCTAAAGTTGACCTTAAAAAGAAAGTCTTTAAAAAAAGCTGGCTACTAAAAAAAAAAAGCAGGTCATTCTTTATTTTAAAATACTGACCCTTTTGGCTCACACTGAAAATAATTCTTCTTTAGTATTTACAATTTGACAATTTGCTTAAATTAGATATATGGCACCACATTCCCATTTAGTTTTCACCTGCTACAGACTCTTTATTTCAGTGATGTTTCATCTGGGCTTGTGATCATTTGCATAGATAAACATGAAGCTAATCTTTAGCTGAACATGTCCACATTTAAAACGATAGCGTAGCTAAAGATGTTTCAACTTTCTGGACTTCTGAAATGTGCATTGGCAGCGATTTTTACTGTCCCCAGCTATCCTCCATTATCATTGTGCGTACGCTCTTCTCTGGAGCAGGCAAAAGGCTGTTCTGAATTATTTACAGAGAATGAGTGGGTGTGAGGTGTGGGACTGATTAGGGAGTGACACAGAGGATGGTTAAATCTCAGTCCCTTTCAACAGTCTGCTTAGGAAGCAGTTTCCAAATCAAATGTTAAAAAAAGGACCTTACAGGAAATGACAGCAGTGCACTTCTTCCTACCGGGATTCTGCAGTACAGTCACCTTTTCACCGGAATTTACTTTTCTTTTGTTCCTTAATGTTCAACCTATAAAGCAAAATCTCTTCCTACGAATGTAACAAGCAGAAGCATGCACAGTTCAGTGAGCGAACAAATATTCTGTCTCCCATTTGCAACACGATAGTATTGCATCATTCATCATTCACAGCATTTCAAGTTTCGAGCACAGGGAGATAGCACTGGGATAGAAATAGGGAAGTGGCAATTTGATTAAAATTCAATCCCAAACCATCATCCTGAATTATTCAAACTCCATATCTAATGTCCTTTATCCGGTCCCTGAGATAAGTGTAACAGTTTTAGGGGGAAGACAATGTTAACATTTTGACATTTGAGTGCCAGTCCACACTTTAAAAATGCATCAGCGAGCCAAGGAAGGCACTGCCATGTGCTATCACTTTACCTTTAATTCACCAGTGCGTGCTTAGGATGAATAATTCAAGCCTTGCACTTCACTCATGGCTTTAAGGATGAACACCCCCACCCCCTACAGCAATGAGCACTGGATGCACCATAAACACAGTATGGCTTTGGCCCCACATTGCTGACAACCACACATGCATCGACCTCAAGGTGATCAACATTTGCAACCTAGCCATGCGAAAATGTTGGTTCCTGTGCATGAAAAGCACAAGTTTGAAATCTTACAGAAAGAAAGAGACATTTGATCATTTGTGGGGTGGTGATGGCGCATAGATAAGATGCTTGCCTTTGGTGTGGGAGACCTGGGTTCAATTCCCACTGTGAGACATCCACCATTGTGTCCCTGAGCAAGACACTTAACCCCTAGTTGCTCCAGAGGTGTGCGACCTCTGACATGTATAGCAATTGTAAGTCGCTTTGGATAAAAGTGTCAGCTAAATGAGTAAATGTAATTTGACACGATTGCCAATATACAACTCAAGGTTTCCAAAAAAACTGAACGATTCCTACCAATGTCTAGACTAACTGTATTAAGCTAAATGACAGCTATTTATTTTGCAGCCATTCACATGCCTTTTCAGCTCCCTGCTTCCACACACACACACACACACACAGGAATGAACCTCCTGTTTGTTCATAACAACTCCCAACAACTTCCACTGTGTCTCATGTGCAAGTGTGAAAGGTCTGCATCCTGCCCGAGATGCTGACAATGAAACACAGGGTGGGGCCTTCCGTACATCCACTACAGTAATCATTTTCTTGTCCTCCTTGATCCCCGTGGCACCTTTTCCACTCCATTAGATGACACATGGCTTACACATCTTCACTAAAGGGACCTAATGTAGACTACACACTCCGATGTGAAACATGTCATGGCGGTTCTTTAGTAGTATAGTTTCACTTTGGCATAAAACAAAACCAACACCGTGAGCTCTTGACGACTTGTGACATTTTTGTAGCCTATATGATCAATCAAGAAAATAACCTGCAGAATAATCGATTCTGAAAATAAACCGTATAAAACAGTAAGCCTGCGCATCGTTACCTCTATACTATGTTATAATCTTGACTGTACATACTTTTTCTTTCCAGGTCTTGAATAATCTTTCCATTTTATCATGTACTTTGCTATTGTTTGGTTCCCTGTCTGGAAAGTGCTTTGTAATTCTGCAGTTTGGTTTGCAGTACATGGTTCAGTATTATTAAAACCGGTGTTTCCTATAGGTTGAGAACTTATTAATGGTGGCTGATACCACAGTGCAGTGGGAATGAATTGATGCAGATAACAGACCATTACATGGTTAATGTTTTGCTAGGAAACAACTGTGTTCAAGCAAACAAACACTGACATGGCATCAACTTGAGTCTGTTTATAAATGTATGTCAATGTTTGCTGCGAACGTGTAAAATAGCCTTTACATCAGCCGATGAGAGGCTACCCTACATGGACATTTGCCAGGCGACTTTTCATTGGAAGTTTGAGATCCTTGTTTGCTTTGTTCACCATTTGTCTTCCAGGTTTTATTTTCCAAAAACTAAGCTTGTGAACAAAATGTTGTTCACGGACAGAAAGATACATAGAATACAAATATGGCAGCAAGGAGCCTAATAAATGGCTGCTAGATATTTTCAGCCGAACAACCATCCAAACAAAGATTCGGATACACCAAAAAGCAATTTTGATGGCTGCTTTGTCATCTACAGACACCCATTCAAAACAACCACAATTCTCACTATTGCTGTGTGTAAACCTATTCGATAAGCACTACACTGGCTTAAGCATAAGTTACATACATACGCAAACTTCCTGACCCCGGAGAAGTTCACACAGTTGCAGTGTTTACTTACAGTTCCTCTCTGTCTGTCTTTGTTCAGGCCACAATTGGTTTTCTTCACTCCAGGTCCCACTCTAAGGGTTGATTCTTTCTGTGAACAAAGATGGAAAAAAGAGCTGTCAGTACAGCAATCTCAGAGGTCATCTAAGAAACAACAGGCCATGGGGCCGTCTGGAATTCGAGAGGAGAAAACAGGAGGGCCAGAATAAGGAGATTAGGATGCTGGGATTTCAGTTTTTTTCCCCCAAAACCGAGAGAAAACATGCCAGCAATAGGTTTGCCTTAAAAAAAAAAAAAAAAAACACTAAACAGAACAATTTAACAACCGGGCACGACGTACAACACCTGCATCAGCGTGTAACAGTGAGTCACCACCACAGATACGTCAGTTCTTCCTCTGTCTTGTCTGATGGGAAGTGAACAGAGGTTAGCTGCTGGCAACCCAGTTCACAGCTAAGAGCATTAACACGATGACGCGTCTTTGCAAAGTCAAGGTATAGGGATGCCATGATCACGTTTATTTTGGCCACAGTTATTTTGCCAATTCAAATTCAAGTCCAATCAAATACTTACATTTGCTCAAACGTTGACTAAAAATGTATCTGACTCATATAAACATACTCATAATAACAGCTAATAGTCTACTAAATCTGACACCCTGTTTTATTACAAGCTGCTTCATTCAAATACTGGAGGTCCTGATTAAAAACCATTATGTTTATAAGCTGGAATTATTGATATGAAATGAATAAAAGTTTAACAGAGAATGAGACTCCTGAAACTGACATGAGGCGATCTTCTAGAGAGAATACATATCACTTGGTTGGAACTACAGAAACACTCAGTCCACAGTTGGACAATGCCGTTACTGAGACGAGGTTTTACAAATTACACAAAAGTAGGGGGTGGGGGGTTGTATAGCTAGCGTCAGATTTCTGTCTCTCATGGATCCAGCAGTGTCAACCGCAAATTACCAAATCGTGAAAACTCACAGCAAAGAGAAGCCCTGTAACATCAGCGGTCTGAGGAATGTAGGGAGTGCTCAAGTGCTCACAGATAGGACAACAGCTAACAATGTTGGCCCCGCAGCCGGTTGACTGCTGCCTACTACACCTCGCCAGATAACACAGAGGAAAGTTAATATAACTTCAATTGTGATATAAAGATATGTTATAGCAAAAATGTAATTTCAGCAGTTCAGCTAGAAGCTATAACCACCTGTCACCTCTGGATAAGATCTGACCATTAATGAGTTAGTCTATACCGGCAGAGCTACTAGCACCCCTGTCTCAGGCTCCCTGTGATCCTTCTAACACAAACCATATGTCCAACTGTTGAAATTCTCAACCTTAAATCAACACTGCGCAAATAGTCGAAATACTAGAAAGCTTATTTCTGTACCCTAAGGTATAATTTGCTCAACAACAGGTCAAAACACAGATAAAGGTGTTCTAATATGAGAAATGGAGATGTTGGTTTTCAGCAGCTGCTTGCAAAGGGCCCACTAGAAGAAGGAAGGAGCTGGCTTGTGTAGAGAACAGGATTTCTAAGCTGACGTAAACAAAACTGGATATGGACATCGCGTTCTGGGAAATGAGCAGATGCACAGACAGACAATCCAGCTGTTTGACATTTAATAACCGTGAGACAGAAATACAGGCGACAGACTGAAAGCCTCACAAGTCAGGATTCTAATATAGGCTGTATTTGCAATGAAGCGCAGAATTTAAGTCACAAAGAAGCGCTTCGTTCATAGTGTAATGAATGATGTTGCACAATGGAGGTTTCCAGATGTGGTTAGAGGTTACTCTGCCTGCCAATGACATGATGATTTTTAGACAAAACTCCTGAAAGGTGGATTCAATGAGAAACACTAAGCCATTGAGAGAACAATTAAATATTGCTCTCCTTCATGTTCTACTTCTTGTGTGTTGTGAAATCAAGGTTTTTTTGGCTCCGATCCCAATCGTTCGTCATCACTGATACAGAGTCTGATCCAAGGATCCAACACATAAATGAAGTCCAGTAAACACAGGATCGGGTTTTGATCTGCTTTAATTAAGCCAATATCGGTCGACTAAAATATTCTCGGATCGGTCCAGATACCGACCATTAGAGTCAGCTGGTGAAGAAAGCATCAACTGATAAACTCAGTGTCACTACACATACCCAGTATGTGGCCTAGTGGTTCGGGGGTAGTTCGCATTCTGTTTGTATCTATTATGTCACTGACAATGGCAAAATGCTCAAAAATAATCTTATCAATTCTGCATTTAAGATGAAAAGGAGAATTAGTGGTCAGCCAGAGTTACTTTGACTCAGTAGGAGAGCACTAAGTAGAGCTTAACCATCTGCACAAACACTAAAAACCATATTGAGATTATTTTACACATAATGCCATTTTGGTGGGAATGGTAATTTTGTGGTCTGTACCAAACAACCATGTTCCCTTAAGTCTAGAGAATGTGATTTGTAGGCCGGGGCATCTTTGTAGCACCACAATGCTTCATTTATAATTATGTTGTGACACATTTTTACCTTTGTCAAAAAAAATTGCAGCTCCTGCGATTTTTTTTGACAAATAATATTTTTTTGACATAATATTTCGATTAAATGGTGTAGCACCAAGTATACACTTATTCATGACATAGGTGGCTATACTAGTGGTATGGGCTTGCAAAACATCTCCTTAATATGGACACAAAGGTCTGACGTTTCTGTTTCGCCCACTCTGCAAGCTACATGTTAGCAAACTCCTGTTTTCAGAAACAAAATAAGCCACCTTGAAACTCCTATATCAAAGGGATAACTTAAGTTTAGCTTTCTAGGAAAAGTTATGAATGTTTCCCAGAGCCCTTTGAGTGAGGCAAGCACAGAGGTTGTGGATGCCAGCAACTTTAGCCTGGGTCAGCTGTGCCTGGGTGTGCCAAATAAAGTGAGTCCACATGGAGGAATGGCCTGGCACTTCAGTCTGAGTAACTCAACACAGCCAAAGTATGAGAGAGGCACTGGATTATTCCACCTGTCTTCGGTGAACAAAACCATTGCTTTCAACCAGAATCTATCAACTGCGAATAGGAAAATTATCTCAACTTGGATATGCACTTATGTGTGCATTAATTTAGAAGACACAGCAGCGATATGCCTCTCCTTCAGTGGTCTGATGTCATGATTTAAATTTAATTCAAAGTCAGTGTTAAATCAGACGGACGTCCTTTCCACTTGATTATTTTATATAACAAAGATGCATAACTTGTTATTATGTATTATGTTATTATTACATAAGAAATTAGCAAACGGCAACTTAATAACACAAGTTGCATAACAAGTATGTGTGGCTCCAAGTTATTTTTAAGTTCCACAAGCACTGATAAAATTACTGTACGGCCCTCTTCAAAATAGCTGTCCTTGTCTTATGGAGACTTTGGCTGACCTTTACACAACATTTGATTGAAAGTACGAGGAAAAGAAAGAGGTGTAATATTAGACATTTCCAACAACACTTGATGAAATGAGGGCCAGTAGTTTCAACTGTGACTCCATTATAAGGGTGTACCATGAAAAGTAAAGAGAGATCATTGTTCCATAGTAAACAGCCTGTTAACATATTTTCTGAAATGCATAACTAGTAGCTGAATGTTAAATATTTTTGAGTGGCTATTCCAACTTTAGGTCACACAATAGATGCAATAGTTTCCACTGTAATCTTAATATACCAAACATTTTGTATATTAAAGACTGCTAATCCAACATACTCAGAGAACCCAGAGGTGTTGAATATCTTAATTCCTGGCGCAGGTGTGAACTTCGAGCCCAGTCTGTGGTTGACATGTTCTCTCACAGCAGTGTTCCAGTCTCTTACAGATTAATGATAAAACAGGCCTCGTCTAGTCACATTGGAACCCATGTTTAAGACGTGACTCACTCTGTAGTTTGTGAGCATTTAGTTTTTGTTCCCAGCTCTGTGGTCCACATGAGAGCTTGATTCAAGATATTTCCTTGGTGAATGATGACCGCAGTCTCAAAATAGGGATGCCAGTGGGGGGAAAATAAAATGCAGGCTTCTGCATACAGCTGTGCAGGGATGGTGCATTTGTGAAAAGCAAAAAAATGGAAGGTTTTTTTGGTTTTAAGAAAGTCTAAAGAGCCACAGGTGAATCTTCAAATTAGCAACTTTCATTAAGCTTAGTATCAACTTCGCTTAAATGGTAACTAATGGCGTCCTTTCAATACACATGCTGAGAGGGTCCAGCGCTCCTAAAGTCGGGAACTGTCTGGAGCAGCTGCAAACTAGTCACAGAAGTACAGAGAGAATGAAAGACACTTCATAAATCACTGCTGGAATGCAGCCTCATTTCCTCTCCGACCCCACCTTCTCAACAGTTTCTCCTTCCAAGCCCAGGAGCTTTCTACACCAGAGACCTGACCATCACTATCATGACACAATTTGCAGCTGTGAGTCTCAGCAGTAAAAAAAAGAAAAAGAAAAAAGAAATTTCCCCACAGCAAACTAGCTCACATTTCAGTCACGCACAGCAGATTGAAATTAATGAGGAGGAGGCAGAAGTAATGAAAGAGTAAGAACATACACGTTTGTGTCAGGCTGTTGATGCAGAATTGATTAATGTTATTACTACAAATAATCCTTTCAATCTTTTGCAGACATTGTTCTCATCCTTTAAAGTTTCCATTACAATTGTGAGAGGCAGGATCAGTTGAGATTTTTAAACGTTAGAGCCCATCTCTCTCTCTCTCTCTCTCTGCACTGTTTTACTTGCTAAGCAAAGATTAACAACAATTCTTACAGATGAATAGTAACATCTGCTGGATTGTTGTCACTATCGCAGGTGCCATTTTTAGTTTTAAATATGGTGTCAACAGCTATGACAGTGCTGATGGTGATGACGACAATGATATGATTGATTGCGTTACCGTCTTTGCATTGATGTTGCACTATAAATAAACTTGATTAGTGTTACCGAGTGAAGAGGTCCATTCCATTAACACAGCCCCAGACACACACGCACGTGCACAAACACACACGACTGGCAGGCCAGACCAGATAAAAGTATGGCACAGTGTGGCACGTTCATTTTTTTTTAGTTTAATATCACAAAATCTAATTTGATATTTTGTTTCATGCCTAATTTGCATCACATTAACATTCAGTGTGCAGATATGATGCATATGTCTTCCAACAAATCGGAGGGAAAAGCAATGATCCTAGTGGAAGTCTGAAAACTCTGCTTTCTCTGTATGAATTCATTAACGTGACAAATGCGCAAATACTATAAATAAATAAATAATGAGCCTTAATGACAAGTAATCCAGGTATAAAGAATACATTTAGCAAGAAAAATAGCTAGGTCTTAAAATGGATTATTCAGATTTTTTATATATGTTATGTTATAATTTAAAGGGTAAATGCTCCATTTGCATGAAACTGAGAAGGGTATACGTCAACATGCGTCTACTGCCAGAGAATGAATGTAACAAAGATGTTCATAACTTGAAAATCTTCAAAGGAGAGTAGGCTTTTGTTCAGTGTGGACATGATCTTTTCCTTTTCCTGTTTTTGGCAACATTTATCTAGCTCCTGGTTACAACCAAGACAGGCTTGTATAACAGTCTTTTTTTCACTAGAGACGGTATGTGCCACAGAAATCCACAGGCAGACAAATATGTTCTTAAAGAGCAGAGTAAGAGGTGTCTCATCCCAGAGGAAATCACAAGGAACCTGAGCAGCAAGGTGCTGCTACCATGGAAACACAGATAAGCTCAACAGATGCCATGACTTTAAGCATTAGCAAAATACTTTAAGTACTCTAACATCCATCCAGCATCCGTTACGTGTGTAAGAGTTTCGTGTAAAAGATGATTTTTGTTAGTCAAGCTCAAATCCATAATTGGCCAAAACAAGATATTATAATTTATATCACATCATTGATTTAATTAAAACAATGAAAATGTTATTTTTTTAAGTAAATGTAAATCTATTTTCCCCACTTGTAAAATGGTTGGTGTCACACTCATTGCATTTATTTAGTGTTTATACAACTTGGCCCAGTAGTGAGTCAAATTATGATTGACATAATCAAAGTAATTGCTCTTGAATCAGTCTGCCAACTACGGGGTCATGAGTCGAACTGAATTTCTCTGAAGCCAATGATTCACACCACGAGCTGTCTGAAATATTTGGTATTTATAATTGCTATGTGATCATTCACAGAGGCACGCAGAGGGTGAGCCAAGATCTAATCAATCACTGATCCTGGAAAAAGTAATAAATACTGTAGAGGAACATCAATATTTTAGAAAAGCAATTGCGAAAAGGGGTGGCCTATGCAGGATATCTAATGCAGAGACATTATGTGTCAATTTAAGAAAAGGAGTTAGGTCAGGTGAGGGCCTGACGAAGATTGATGTAGGATCAAAATGTCATATTAAACTTTTGTGGCATGGAGTAAGTGTGCCGGTGTTCCCTTTTTCACTGATGCCGTTTTCTGATAGCCTTATACCTACTTGATGTTCATATAATTACTAGCCTTCAATATGAGAAAAGGAACCAAACAGTCAATTCCGTGACATTAATTCACAATTGTGACCCAAATGTAAACAAAAATTGTAACCACACCACCAACATTCACCAGAGAGGATTGAAGAATGAGATCAGCGCTAAATATCTTGATTAATGTGTTAACGATAATGACTAAAAGTCAGGGGTGGGTAGTAACGCAAACTAGTAAAAAGTAACTTTTTTAGTAAGAGTAACTTTTCACGTTCCTTTGTAAGACTGTACTTTTAATCTTTACTCAAGTACTTTTAACTTTGCTACATTTGCCATTCATACTTTTGTTACTACTAGTCTGTTATCTACTATGCATTTTGCTACAATAACCGAAATGAGCTGTCCCCCAAGCTGTGTGCATGCCGTTACGCATTCAATACAAAGACGTGCGCTTGTGCCACTTTTTGAATCAGCTGGGCAAATGCAAAATACCCTTTTCAGATTTAAAGGTTTGGTTGTTCTACTAATGTAACTCACATCCAGTAACTGCACACTATGCCACTGGTGGCTGCATTGGAATGCAGCCTGCATCACCCTTTCACAATAAATACTTTCACATTTCATTAATGGCGTATTAAAAGCACATTTAGTCTATGCAGAACACATGTAGGCTTCACACTGTAGAGTCTAAGTCAGATGATGTAGCAACGGCTGGCGGTGAATTCATTAAATGTCGCCGGTGAAACTGATCTTGGCTATCACTCAGCAGGCTACCAGCTGTTATTTATTTAGGAAACAATCAATCATTCTTGAGAAGTATAGGGAAAGTACAAATATGGATGGATGAAACAGTCCTGCTGGGCTTTACACATGGCGCACAGGTCTACCTCTATATAATAATAAACTTTATTTATACAGCACTTACGAAAACAATATTACAAAGTGCTTAACATGATCGAACAAAGATTTAAAACATGTCAGGACAGAAGCCATAAAATGATACACAGTTAAAATGAATGAAATTCATCAACACATTTATGATAAGATATGTTTAAGTGTTTTCAAAGATGTTTCCAATCCTGCAAGCCTCAGGTTCCAGGGCTAAAGGGCCCTGACTGCAAAAGCCCGCTCACCTTTAGTCTTGCGTCGGGACTTAGGAACAGCCAACAGAGCTCTGGCTCATAGGGGAGCAGCAATTCAGGCCTAAGCCATCAATTCATTCAAAAATGGGCTGCTCCTTAAAATATTAAAGAGTATTTGTACTTGTACTTAAGTAGGTTTGTCATATGGTCATTTTTACTTAGGTAAAGATTTTCAAAAAAGCTGAAAGATGTTAAAGTTAAACCATTTGTGCATCCCACTGAACAATATGAGAGTCCTCCTATGCAACAGGTCACAATGCTCCTACTAACAAACTACCAACAAGTTACTCATTTCAATTCATCTTTTCAAGTTCCACAAATACATACAAATGCTGTGAGGCAACAATGCAATTCAAGTGTACTTTTAAGCCTTGGGGTCAACAGAACAACGGAAATTGCAGGCTGAGAGGTACTAAAGGCAAAAAAAACACAATAAGCATCAGCAAAGAAAAAGGAGTAGCAGAAGCGGTTTCCTACAAGACACAGAAAGGGCCAAACCTGTCAGTCGAGGGACTGCGTAGGGGCTCTGGAAAAGCTTGCTGCTGCTTGGGGATACAGCGTGTTATCTGCTGCTCTGCAGACCTTCCCTTTGAAGTGATGCTGAGCCCCCGACTGAGCCAGTGGCAACGAAGGTGCAAGGTGGGAGGCTAGAGAAAATGTAGAGAAAGCAACAGAGGTGAGAAAACAACTGTGTGTTACAAAAGAAACAGCAACAGGAGAGAAATAAGCTAAACATGCCTGCTTACTTTCATCTTGTAATGTCAAAAAAATTCACCACCGATATCTTTTATAATAATTTGGTTTGGAGCAGAGCTAAAACTTTAAAGTCCCACAAAACACGTCATTGTTTTTTCTCTGTTTTATAGGTCTTGTATAGGGAGGCTATAATTCCTTTTAGGGAGTAATGAAGAAAGCATATGGTGACCATGTGGTGGAGAACGACTGGCAGCTTCAGGAGGGTTTGTGCAAGGGACACAATCAGGTGGCAAAAGTGAGGAAAGTGAATTGACAGACTGTTTGCCTGCGCCTTCTGTTCAGTGAAGTCTCCCTCAAGGATTATCCTCTCTAATAGAATTAAAGGCACTTTAACTGAGCTGCCAGCTGCCTGCGTCTCCGGCGGAAAGCCACCCAGGTCAAGTCTGAGGGAGGATATCCTACCATTACAATGCAACACATTCCTATAGTGCCTCTAATTCTTTATCACACCAAAATAAGCTATGATTGAAGTTTGATCTTGAGAGGAATGGGATAAAATGCAATGTATGGAATAAAGCATATGAATCAACTTAAAATTACTGGATATGGTGTAAAAATTAAGCCGTACACCCCACTGCCTGCATGCATTTTGGGTGCATTCATGTCTACATAAAGCTGTCAATTTGGGATCAATTCACCCAAGATGCATTTTTGAGCTTGGGTAAGTGTGACTCAACCTACTTTAATTTCGATAAACAGTAAATAATTCATCCAGAAGTATGTGGGCCAGAGAACTGTGTTCTACATAACTTCCAACTGAGATGATGTCTAGGCAGTTTCTATGTTGTTAACTGTACGATGAAAAAGTTTACTTAGATTGTCTAACATAGCTTACTTAGATAATTAATAGCTAATAAAAATAATGGATTCTCAGTCAGACCAATTAGAACGTGTTAGACTTAATTGCCACAAATCGTTAGGTTGATTTTGGCCATGTTGAAACTGGATATTATCAGGGCAAAACTGCTCCATTAAAAGATACACCATTTAAGCGGGAAATTATTATTTTCACAAACAGCGCAATCACACATTTATTCCTAATTTCTGCTCTCAGAATTAGGAAACAGTATGAAGGACAGACAATGCAGAGAGTGCCAACTGTAGACACCTGCGTGGCAGTGAAAAAGACAAGGACAAGCTGCAGTGACCTTGGCCTTTTTATTTTTTAGGATTAATCTGAATTTGGAAATTAATAAATTAGGTCAGTGGTTCTCTGTCCGGGTCCACAGAGTACAGACACCATGTTCATTCAAGACATCTAATCAGGGACTAATTTTGACAAATAACCTGGCTGACTGCATAGAAAACAAACAAAACACTCTTGGTGGGTGTGGGTGTGTGTGTGTGTCTGTGTCTGTGTCTGTGTGTGTGTGTGTGTGTGTGTCTGTGTGTGTGTGTGTGTCATTTTTGTTCCACCACGGCTTTATCTCTATTATTAGTGGGTTTATCCTCCCTGACACCTTTTGGGCTGATTAAACATTTATAGTGGCAAGTACTTGATTGTAGTTCTGGCTCGGAAATCACTGTTTTGATTTTTAATTTTGAGTTGTTACCTACAGAGGAATCTCCAAACTGTATGATCCATGTCCATCCACAAATCAGTGAACTCGTACAGAAAAAAATAGACAGTGCTATTTAAGACATAAGCATTGTGATGCTAAAAATGGGAATCGTGTTTCAGTAATTATTAAAAATTAATTTAGCTGGAAAACGACAGATTAGTCAACTAATCAACAAAGAATGCACAGCAATAACTGTGATGAGCTGAAATAATTGTTCACTAATCAGAAAGGTCTGGTTAGAATTAACCGCACTACATCATGGAACCAGTTCAAAGAGTTTGTACCGATTGTGTTAAATGCAGGAGAAACATGAAGACCACCTGCTTGATCGAGCAATCTTCTGAATAAACTTTAGGTCCACATTGTCCCTATATTCAGTGTGAACAGCAGATGACTGAGAGCACTCTAGTGTTCACATAATGTGGAAACTAAACAAAGACCTGCAGTAACACAATCACACATTCTTTTATAAACTATCTTTTTATTCTTTTAAGAACCTGCAGAAAACAACGAAACAAGGTACCATAAAACCAATATAAAGCCCTGGTTTGGTGAACTTGTAAAGGATTGCTTGTAAGACGCCTGACAGGGACCATGAGACAGTGGGAAACCTCTGACCAGCCGCGTAAGAGAAGCCTCCATTCACAAAGACAGCCGTTGCCATGTCAACAGGACCTCTGCTCGGAGAGGCCTCCTTTCAAAACGGTTTTCATCCTGAACCTCTGCTGCAGTCTCTGAGAAGGACTAGTGGGCATTTGAGAGGGAATGAGTTGTGGGTGGCAGTGAAGAGATGCGATTGTGTTAAGGCAAGATGGAAAACGTCTGAGCTGAAAGGTCCAGAGCCTTTGCAGTCTCTGATAGGAAATCACAGTACGGCAGGAGAGGGCTGTGTGCTGGGGAGTTTCTTATGTCCCATTCACACAGACACTGTGAAGCAGTAAAAGCCCATGTCAGTCTGGCTGCATTAGGGCTTAGGCAATATGACAAAACAGATCATGAGACAATGGAAATGAGTCAACAATCATCAAGGAAAATCTCTGGCTGTTTTATAGAGTAATGAATAACTTGCAAATCAATGAACAGAACCTTTAGAGGTAATATTGTATTTAGAGGAGCTATAATCAACATTTCTATTAGGGACGTCACAAGAACAGATACTTCGTTACCAAGTCCAAACTAAAATTCTGAAAACATGTCGGTCCTCGTTTTGCTAGGTGCCGAATGTAAGGGAGATCCAACACGTGGAAGATAGCGACAAGTGCAGCTGCAGCGAAGCACTGCAGAGAAGAGAGTATGGAAACGTGGGTGAAGTTAGTTTCGCAGCTGTAACCTTCAGTAGGTCCGTGTCATAGCCTTGATTTCTCACAGTTTTGGGAATTGTTGGAGCACTAATTTCATCAACTCAAAATCACCAAAGGTGACAATGCAGTTTACAGCGCTAAACAACTGAATGTGCAATACAATCCATTTTAATCATAAGAGATAAAAGATATACAAAAATCTCAGACAACTGCCAATATAGATATTGACCACCCTTAAACATTTCGCACTTGAGTTTGTAAAGAAAAATTTGGAAATTTAAGTGATTAATAATGAAAAACGCACACAGCAAGGTTGTAATTTCAATAGCTTGCTCATTTATGAATATAATGAAATCAAACCATCCTCTCACAGCTCTAACAGCAGTTAGTTGTTTTTCGTAATGTTCAAATGTTTTTATTAAAAGGAGTGTATGTATTTATTGTTTCATTTTTGTTTTTCCCCGTGGTATCGAATTGTTATCAAGAATCGTGGAATTTTACAGGTATTGGTGTCAACTACTACCTTTCTGGTATTTCAACATCCCTAATTTTTATAAAAACAATGTATCGAATAACAATGTGAAAAGAGTTGCTTGCAGTGATGACCCTACTGAGAATTATCACCTGAACCTGCAGCTCCCCTCTGCTTTACAGAGCGTCAAAGCAAGTTTCAGTTCCTTGTTTAGCTGTCCATCCCGCAACTTCACTGTCCACTTTACACTACTTGCTCAGCACCAAACCGCAGACAGACAACGTTAGCAACTAGCTGGTGAACATAGTGAGGCATTTAGGATCTTAAGAGCGAGACATTTAAAAAAAACACAAGAGCTAAATGAGACGAATGTTGGACTTATATTCGCCAGGTGGCCAGAAACGCAACTCTAAATGAAAGCCGGTGTTGCTCTGTCACCGCTGGATGTGTAAATAAGCAACTGCTTGCTAACATTATCACCGTATCAACTTAAAATGTAATGATATGTCAATGTTGTGTTCACAATTCCCTGCCCTCAAGTGAAATGATACTGGAACTGTTAAAAATGTGCAATCAGAGCACCAAGAAACTAAGTGTCTAGGAAAGGACTCTCCGGAATCCAAATGTCTATATCTTAACTTATCTGTGAGAGCCTGCAGCATCATTTTGAACTATAATACATCCATTATTGACTTGTTTTGCCAAAACTGCGACTTCATCTTGTCCCCACACACTGCATTCACGCCATAGCCCACATCAAAGCAATATGCCCGGGAGATTCCTCCCTATGTTCATTAACCAAGTCAAAGCTACATGGCACAGCACTGAATTATTAACATGCTCCTTGCGCCTCACAGATACAGAGCAGAGGGCCACTCACAACACACCCACGCTCTGCTATAGTTTTCTGTAGATCTCCAGTAAACCCTGCTGCTGATTTCAAACTAAGAAAGCATATTAAAATGAGGCACAGAACAGAAAATACCATCACATGAAAGATGATAGCGTTACAGATAAAGAGAAACTGGACGATAAAAGAAAAGAAAGAAATATCAATAATGTAAAGATATGGGGTTACACTAATTTCGTGAGTGTGAGAAGAGCATAGAAGGAGCACCCATACCATCCATATTATTTTCCAACATCACAGTTTCCCTCCAGGATTAAACCTGAAACACTGCAGCTTACTTTGTAGTATAGCTATTAAATGCTAACTTCCAGCTAACTGACACAGTATTCTTCTTAATACTAGCAAGTAGTTAGCTAACACAAAGTCCTTATAGGGAAGTCATGCCACCTCTGGGTAGCTGTTTCGGACTAACAAGACCAAGCTCCTATCTGAATAAATGGGGAAAGAGCCAGAACTATAGTGGGTGGGTCTGAGGCCCAAGAGGGTCCAGTAAAGTAAATTACATGTAGCCATTTACTCTTAATGTAGACATGTTATACGTGTTTTATACTTTCTGTAAATATAAACCAATTAATCTTATTTCCATTTTGTATAGACACCTTATTTGGAAATCCTGACGTTGTCACTTGTGCATCCTCGCGCTAAA